CCCCCCCCCCCCCCCCCCCCCCCCCCGCTGAGATGACCTGCAGTTTTCTAATACAACTGGTATCCTGCCAAAGAAAAAAACTATGTGGTTTATTGGTGTTGAAGTAGAGCAAGAGACGAGTGCACCCCCTCCTAAAAAAAATCCTGGATCCGCCCCTGAGCTCCTGGTTAGCTTATTGCTACTTTTTCATTTCACTGCATTTTTGATTTTAGTCAGTTCTTTGCTCTGTTAATACGTGTGGAAATGGTAAAAAAATGGATTAAACATCCTTGACAATATACTGTACTAAAAGTGAAGCCAAGAAGTAGATCTGATAAGCTGACCAGATCGGCAAAAGTATGTAATTTTAACTGAAAAACAAATTTCTGAAAACTTGCATCACATGGTCAAGATCCACGCACTTTGCAATTTGAGTGAGTCAAGAAGACTAGCTCTTAATAACAATTATTGTGTTACTACAGTATTATGCCTAGAAGGTAGACCCTTGTTCTGTTTCTGGGAGAAATTAATAGAGACATTATTATCATTTATTTACAATCAGCTTCTAGTATTGACGTCTATGTCATATTTTTTGTTAGTTGTCAGATTGTACTGCAGTGTTCCTGTTCATCCTGATCGTGCTAGGGTGAGTAAAGCTGTATGTCTCTATGTTTTAATCTGTTACTGTAGTGTATGTTGACATTGTATATGCTCACTCCTGATATAATTATGTCATAACCCATTGCACTGCAGTCCTGGACCCTCTCATTAGAAAAGTTCAAATTTTTCCCCTCTCGACCCGATTTTTAAAATTGGGTTCTGGTGATACCAATTTGTGATTACCAATACATGAACAAAGTACTCTAAATTACAGATTAGATTACAAGTACTGTCTTATTCAGAAGCCAACAAAGTCCTTAATGTAATATATTAATATTAATAATAATATTAGTTATTTATTCCTTATATAATGTGTGTTGCACATGTATTTTGTAGGCTTGGGCAGATAGAGGAGCTCGTCTATTCCCTGGCCATCCAGATGTGTTTCAACTCAGGGTAGGCATAACTTGTAAATCTTGGCTTTTCACATTGTCATTATTTGATTGTGACAACTGATTTAGTCCTTGGCTGCCCAAAATATGTCAAGAAATAAGTTGAAAGAGTTATTTCTTAAGCCTGAGACTTTTTGGTACAGCTTAAGTGTTTGTGTTCAACTGGGTTGTTAATTTTTGTTTTAAATTAAATGAGACCTCATAAAGAGGGACAGCATTTTGTCATTATTTTTTGTAGTGCTACAAACCATTGTAATTCCCTCTCCTCACCAAAAAGAGGCTGTGAACAACAGCAAATGTCGCTGATAAGAGGCTTAGCATAACCAAGGAATTGTTGGTGTTGAAGAACATTTCTCTGTAATAAATTCTCTCTTGTCTTTTTTCTTTTTTGTATTGTATAAAAATTGAATGCCCTTTTGTTTTTGTTCATTTTGTTGTAATTTAATGCCCTTTTGTTTGTACATGTAGATTCACCTTTTAGAGTCAGCTGAGGTGGTGGACTATGAAGCCCTAGAAGACCTGATATCTGAAGAACTTGTGAGTTCCTTTTTATCAAGGATTTTAATTCTGATTAATTCAATTCCAGCAGTACTGGAAGGTCCAAAATAATAATAATATTACTGTGACCTACATGTAACAAAATAGCACAGTGGAATATGCCAGACAAGTGTGGTTTTCTATGAGCTTTTTTTAAGGCCAGGGGCCAGAAATTTTCTCGGCTGCAATGGGCATGACCCCCAAGCCATAAAGAAAGTAAAAGTCATTGAACCAAAAAAACTTTCCAACTGAACAATTCTTCGCTTACTTATTGTACATACTCGGCAACTCAGAATCTTAGTGACAGCCCTGTTTTCCTGGAATCCTGCAATTTCACTCTGCAGAATTCTGGCCTTCTGATAGAGTGTTAAAATCACTGGTGAACTGTGTGGAACTCTTGATTTCAGGGGGTCACATTAAATAACCATGACAAGAAAGATCAAGTTATTTCTTTCATACATGCAGCTGTTAAAAAGCCACAATAAAATGGCTTGTCTAATAAAAAATTGAAGATCAAGGATCAGTGCTAATCAAGGCTGTCTTTAGCAGCACTTAGAAAGAGGCTGGTGACTAACTACATGTAAATTTTGCCATTGGATGATAAGGAAAATGTAGCTTTTTTCATTAAAAACATAGGGCCAGGCACCCTGGATTTCATACATGTACTGTAGGTTGATGCATCATACCTTTGAGTTTAATTGTTACACTTTCTTCTATGCCATCCCTTTCCAGAGTAATAAACTAAAATAAATACCAGCAGTTTAACTAGTATCAGCCTCTAGCTTTGTTTTCTTGACTTGTGGATTATAACATTTTTTGTTGATGCATTTTTGTTTTTAGAGTAAACGACCAAGAGATGCCAACTTGCATATAAGGCTGGTAAAGCTTTATTCTGTACAAGGTAAGGAAGTTATAAACAAATTTAGCTTTAATAGACAGTGCAAGCATTGTCACTTGACAAAGTTTGCGACATTTTTTCTGCGACTTTGTTTAATAGGTTCCATATTATGTATAACAATAACAGTATTGGTCAAAATCTATGATGTATTGGAGACAGGGTCTTGCAGCTTTCCTGGCGGAAGTGATACCTTTTCAAATCCACAATTTGTCTTGAATTGGTTCTGCATTTTATATGAAAAACTTTGTCAAGTGGCATCCGCAGTATAATCTTTGTTGTCATAAGAATGCACTCTTCCTACTGAAAACAAACTTATAATACTAATAACATTTGAACATACATAATTATGATCTGGAAGAAGGGTGTGTGAATTCAAAAGTTCTATCATAAGTTGTTAGAGATACACAAAGACTCTTCTAATAGACATTGCCTGTAAGTAGAGGCTTACGCCATAGCCATAGTCCTACCAACATACAAACAATAATTTTTTAAGAAGGGTGTGTGAATTCAAAAGTTCTATCATAAGTTGTTAGAGATACACAAAGACTCTGCTAATAGACATTGCCTGTAAGTAGAGGCTTACGCCATAGCCATAGTCCTACCAACATACAAACAATAATTTTTTAATATCACGTGAGGGGACATCTCTCCTAAATGGACATTTTTCTGGCTCCAAGGATGTAAAACTTGCTGATTGTTCCAGTTTTTTAACACTGTAAGTGCTTAATTCTTATCATATTGACTTTCCAGGGCGTCTTGATGAGGCGTTTTCTCACTGTGTGGCTGTATGGAAGACAAAAGCTTTTAAGGACAGTTTAGAATGGGTGGCTTGCTGTGTGGAAATATTTGAGGTTTGTCAGCTTGTCAGATGTGGGCTTTTGTGAACGTTTTAAATAGAAAAATGGAAAAGGAATCATTATTTATTTCATATAGAGATTGTTCTATTCTACAGAGAACGTAGAGGAATTTAGCATCATTACAGTTCATGATATTTTTTAAAAAATATGAAAGAATGAGACAAAAATATTCTGTCAGTTTAAAACTATGTGGCCAGCTCCATTTTCGTTCAGTGTTTCATGAAACATGCCCTTCTTACCTTGGCAGTATGTACATGTGCATTCTTCAGTTTTACTGTGTCACTAACACAATTTATTATTTTCCTTTGTAGAAATACCTTGCCTTTCTTGACAAGGGTAAGTACACTTACCATATTCATTCATACTGGTTTGACGGCTTGCCTACACAAATGTAAATACATTGTATGACCCGTGTAACTACCGGTAACCCTAGTAGTTCTGATGACTGAATATCGTGGATTCTCTTCTGAAGGTCCGTTTCTGCATGTATGTTTTACAGGTCAAAATTTAATTCAGGTTAAAATTTTTTAACCAAGGTTGATCCTCAATTTCCTCTGTCTCCTAGGCCAAATTATTCATGATTTGGGGCTAGGAGACAAAGGAAATTGAGACTCAACCTTGGTTAAAAAATTTTAACCTGAATATGATTTTAACCAGCTGCATCATGTACATTTACATGTATCTAGTGCGTCCGACAGTCAGACTGCAAGTCTCCAGTTAATAAACACTATCACTATAAAATAGACCATTTCCAAGTTCCAAAAACTCTCATTTTCAAAATGAGGCCAAGTTCAAAACCTTTTTTATGAAAAAAGAGTCGTATTTCCATAAGGGAAAAAAATTTCATGTGAATAGCTTCTCAATAAGCTTCGCTCTGAAGTGGAGGCTTGGGGCACCTCAGAAATGGCCTATTTAATGAGTCAAGTTGTTTGTCTTTTTTAGCAATTAAAGGTGAGATCATTGGAAGCAGCAATGCTGTCTTGGATGTACACTCATTTCTTTTGATTGCTCTTTGCCACTTCTTGGAGCTTCAACTAGCTGAAGGAAATACACGAGAGGTCATCAATGTTCTCTATAGGTAAGGGTTGAGAAATGAAATTATTATTATTGTTCTAAATAATAGCTGTCATTAAGACACGCTTTTAGATGAATCAAGTGAAGACTAATTTTGGCCCAAAATTTGATTGAACACCAAACTTATATCTAGATGATTTATCTGTCTCTGACAGATAATAAATCAATCTACGACAAATGATTCTTCTCTAACATAAATGTGGCCAGTGTGTACATAAGCCTTGTAAAAAACACACTGTAACCTTAATGCTGTGATAAAGTTGTCCCCACAGTAAATTTACTGCTACTTACAGTGTAGATCTGAAAGTGTCATTTACATTGCTTTGAGCCTTGGTTGTGTGTGTAACCAGTGAAGTTTGGTCTTCTTGCACCCAGGACATGTTTGCAAAAATTGGCAACAAAGCTTGGAATAGTGTTTGTTGTCATTGACCTCTCTTCCCATATTTTGGAACAGTTCCCAGGAGCTGACTTTAACGTCACGTGCCAGTGAATAGCCCACGTTCAATATTAAATTGATGTAATGACTCTTAAGCTTTCTGGTCATGTTTCTATATTTGTTTGGTTTTCTTTGTGCTCAAGTCCCTTCTGGGAATTGCGAGACAGTGGAGTCGTAAAAAATTTGCTATTTTCTCCTCAAAGTCATGTTTATATAATTCTAATACATCAAACGTGGGCTTGTGTTGTTAAGGCTGTCACTAAGATTTTAAGTCACTAGGTATATGCCATTAGTACATATGTAGGTGGGAAATTTATTAGCTCTAAGATATTCTTTTTGTATTTACATTATATAGTTTTTTGTTTCCCATGAAAGTACATGTAGCCGGGAATCAAAGTTTTGATTGTCATACTCGCTGTAGCCGAGTGAAATCCCCAGCCCCTGGCCCCTAGTGACAGCTGTGATCAGGCTCATCATCTCCTTAGTTTAAATGCTTTTAATATTTTTCAGGCTGGATCATTGTGTGTTCATGGCACATAAGCATAAAATTCGTCAAACACCAGGCCGCTCCAGTGGACCCACTGAGTGGGATGTCACACTGACTGAAATGAAAGCACAGCTGTATATGCATTGTGGGACACTATTGATTCGGCTGGCAAAAGATGTATGTAGTTTCTTGATCTACTTAAACTGTGATATTATCAGAAGAACAGTAGTTGCATTTTTACTGGAATGGCATAGGGAGTTTTTAGCGGAAGCGTGCTTTTAGTCTCACAGTGTTTACATGTAAATTCTTCATCTTGACTATGAAACGGGGTATGAATAACTGAACATCACTGAAGCAGTATCATTATGCCTATGTTACAGGTCAAAAGTAAATTCCTTTTTCTCATAGCCCTAATTCGTGAAAAATTAGGGCTAGGAGACAAAGGAAATTGAGAATCAACCTACAATTAGGTGAAAATGTTTTAACTTGAATTTTATTTTGACCTTTGATACCTACAGGGCTCAAAATAACGCCAGTCAATGGACAATGTCCGGCCTGACCGTGGGCTTGGCTGGTCAAACTCTCGTCTGGCTGGTCATTTTGACCGGTCATTTTTGGGTGTTTGTCACTTAATGCGTTTTGCTCTATAACGCTGTAATTTGCTGCTTTCTTTGGCTTTTTTCGCTGCTTTGAACTAAACCCTTGAAAGAAAAACATTCTGCTTTGCTGTGATCAGTAATGCGACCTTCTTTGGGAAAACATACGCTAACAATAATCCGTTATTTGTTAGAAAACTAAAGGTTAGGTTACAGTTTTTGTCCATCAAACGTTTCACATCTACTTTTAAGAGGATTGTGAAAATCACCTTCGACAGAATTCGGACTAGCTAATCGATCACTCGTCCTGTACTGTTTCTCTGGGAATAAATTTCAGCACATCGATTAATTATAATAATTTCGTTATGTCGAACATGATCTCGTTTGCAGACTTGATTCCAGAATTGTCTGATAAAAACTAAGCTAATCGAGAACGAATGTCGCCCATCATGGCGCTTAAAATCCTCCTTCTTGATAAGCCGTTCGCGATAAAGTGTTGCGCGACAACCCAAACGAAAGCTCTGCTGTATATGTATTGACTTCTGATGACGAATACCCTGTTTGTGGAACAAATTTCTTGCCAAATCAACTTCTTTGCCACAAATATTTAGCGACGACATTATTCTTTGTGGAGGAGACTTTCGATCACGTGTCGGGCAACGAAAAGGATCCAGTTTCACCGATATGCAGATATAGGAAGAACCTTGGAGACTTCCGACACCGCCCTACGATGATACTGAAGGTATATATCAACGGACATAAAACGGGCGAAAATCGCGGAAGGAACTCAACAACGTGTGAATGAATTTTTCACCAACTTGCTGGCAAACACCTGAACGACTATGCCGTACAACGATCTACTGCCAGCGTAATTCAATATTCCATGGGCAAAAAAATAATTATAATATTCATTAATTTGACCGGCCAAAATCAGGGTTTGTCCGATCCGGTCATCATGACCAGCGACCTGCTGTCCGTTATTTTGAGCCTTGACCTATACATGTATGTTAGTGAATTGGGGACATAAATTAGCTTATAAAGGGCCCATGAACCTGGCCAGAATGACCTTACTATACTGAAATTATTTTATGAATCATCATGTTTCCAGTACTGAAAAAAAAACCTGTAACTTCAAGAAATTAAAAACAGTGGTCACTGAAAAGTGGTGGGCTGTTGTGTGTTTTCATGTCAATGTCCAGGCTATATGGATAGTAATTATTGTTCCTTTGTCAAACCTTTTGTTGACTACTTTTCTTGCTTGCTTTATTGCAGGAATATGTTACCTGGCCAAGAGGCTTGAAGCTTGCATGTGCATGTTATCTTGCAAGTGTTAGCATCTCTGAACCTGAGACCAAAACTCCATGGGTTGCAAGAGCCCCTAAAAATAAGGATCCCCTCAAATGGTTCATCATGGGGTGCTCAAGACTCAGTCAAGTTGGTGAGTGGGTAGTGGGCTCCTTAACTTTCCCAAGGAACTGTAAAATTTAAAAAAATGCAATAATAGACTTTTCCACCATATTTTCAACATTGACTAGTGACCAGTTAGCAAAACTGGAAATACCACCTTAATGTCAGTAAAAATGTTTAGGCAAGTTTGGGCCACCCACCATACAAACGTCTGTAAAATTTTGCTACTTAATTTGTGGAGTGATATGTTTCCTTGCTTTAAATTGATTGGCTCAGTAGAGTGCTTAAATGCAGTACAAGAAGTCGTGGGTTCAATTCCTGAGGCTGGACCAATACTCAGGGTCTTAAAGTGACTGAGAAATGAAGGTACTGCCTTTGCCCTTTAAGCGGCTTGACCTTCACACGGCTTGGATGACCATGTAAAATGACAGTCCCATCTCCAGTTAGATGTAGTAAATTGTGTCCCCAATTATTACTTTCTTGCTAAATACATGGATGCTCAAAAAAGTGCATTTTTTATTGACTATCTGTGGATAATAAACATTGTACGCCATGATGTTGGATTCTAAGACCACCCTTGTAAGAAAAAGGAATCATTTTTTGAGAGATTGGACTAGAGATCTAACCTTAAGTTTTCCAGTTTGCACATACAATGTAACAACAAATTGAACTGTTTCCTGGAACTGGACAATCTATTATTAATGGCAAGTCACCTTCCTTTGCTTCCTGTTGTATTTATTTTTAGGTCACTTCCTTGTTGCCACAAGAGACAGGCATGGTGGCTCGTGGATAGAAACCTGCCACTCAGACTGCTGTTCACAACAAGGTCTGGAAGAAATTCTTAGCACAGTTTACAGGGACGAGAGAGATTTGGCAAAGGTGAGAGACAACAGGAGTAATATCTCGGTAACAAGAATTTAATGTGAAAAATACAACCTCTGAAAGTCATAGGTAAATTGGTAGAAAAACTGTAGACATATATCTTAGGAACGAAATGTTTAGCCTAATTTCTTGAGCTCTAGAAATTGCTGGGTAATATTTGCTTCTTCAAACAGTTATTTTACAGAAAAAAGTCACTGGGTGAAGCTCTGTAATTTACTCATGCTAATATGTTTGTTGTTGTTCTAGTCATTCCTGGCAGTCAGTGATGAGTTATCTATTAGTCCTGGGTTATTTATTCCTGATAATGAACAACTTGTTAGCTGGGATGAAGGTAAGTTGTGTAATTGAGTGGAATAAATTTATTAGAAATGTATGAAGGTAGCAATAGACTGGCATTATCATTAAATACTGGTCAACACAAGTATTCACTTTTTAATTTGACATTTAGCTCTAGTACTTACATTTTGTAATTATTTTGCCAGCCTATTGATATTCCTTTATAATATATTTCTTGTAAATATATTTAAATGAGCCCCACAAGCAATGACTGATTGCCTCTTGCAACTACACCCATCTAGAATGACAAAATACAGACATGTTTTATTACTTATCTCATGGCACTCGCTCCAAAGGATGTCAGCCATTTATATGCATTTATAGTGTGGTTGAGTTTGTTGAGGGAAAGTTTGTGCATGACTAGTATAACATGTAAGTGGTGACGTTGTATACAGGGTACTAGTAATGTAATGTAACTTGCAGTTGTAGTGGATCCTACAGTATAGTGCTTTGTGCAAGATAGTTGTTGACACAGTATTCATGAACCAGTTTTCATTGCAGATTTAGCAGTAGTTTCTCAAATCCATTTTATGCTGGGACAACAATCTCCTTTTCCCATAAAACATTATAGAAAATTTTACCCAAAATTACTGGATCGGCTAGGGCTTCTTTTTGTTTACAACATTTTCCCTGTAACTTCAGTGGCAGTGACTGAGAATCCTCGTAGCCTGCAAAACATAATCTGGGTTGGATTACACTGGTATCAGTTTAACAAAGAGATGAGACCGGGAGGTATGTATGAAAATAATAATAGTTATAATGTTATTTAACTAAATTAATAAATCCTCTTACATGATTTTTTCTTCTTTGGAATACATGTACAAGGCACACAGTAAAGTCATACAAGACACCAGTGCCCATTTGTTCAAAATGTGGCTAACTCTATCTGCCAGATAAATTACTGTCCACCGAATAGTGCTATTGTTTTCCGTAGTACTTATCCACTGAATAGTGATTTATCTGGTGAATAGTGCTATCCAAATTTTGAACAACAGGGTCCTGGCATCAAATTAGTAGGCTCACTGCTGGGCAGACAGTGACCCATTCACAGTATCTCCAATCAAGATACAAGAGGAATCCCAAAAACATTTTGTTAGAGACATAAAGAAGTTCCATGCAAAACTAAATGTACTGCTGAAGAGGTTTTACTTGACTGATATTCATACATTATGGTTTCAACCAGAGATATGATTGTTCCTATGTAATTACTTTTCACATCTTTGTATGTGACTTTGTGTATAAACTGTTATTTGGTTGTTGTCTCCTCTTTCCCCCTTCTCATCTCTTGAGCATTTAAGTTATCATCCTTACAGGTGTTGTTTGTCGGAGACATCACATGTTAATCATCAAATACTAAGTGTACTGTATGTGAGCAAACTCCATTTTTCACTGATGCTGTGTTTTTTATAGTTGGTGTTATGGTGAAAGACATATTCCCAGAGCTGAGGCTGGATGTTCCAAACATAGAGAAACAAATTGCACCCAACATGTTGTGCTTGAGGGACATTGAGGTATTGCTAAAAAAAAAATCAGTGTTGTGGTTGTTTACAGGTGGTGGATGCCTACAAGGATCGAACCATAGTGGGTCTCTTACTACAGGAGTTACCTACACAGCTACATTTTGGAAAAGAATCTATTGCACACAATTTTACAATTAATTTTAGTTATATTTTTTGCAGTTTAGTTATATGTTGTCACTATCCCATTTTCATAGTAGTGTAGTACATACAATGAACATACAGATCAAACCAAGCCTTAAGTGGTCACTTACAGATGGATAAATACAGTGGACAATTTTAAAGCCATCATCCAAAAAATAGGTTGTGGTCGCTTGCAAGAGGTGGTACGGTGAACTTTACTAGGGTTCCAAGCGTAATGATTTTACTTGGAAGATTTCAGTGTTTTGGTTAATTGGCTGCTTATGGGAGGTAGTCGCTTATGAGGGGTGGTTGCACATGGACGGGAGGTGTGACTGTAGTCACACAGATTTGATGGTGATAAGTAACCAATTTTCATACTCCCTTCAGAGTACGTGGTGAATTCCTCTTTGGTTTTTTGTTTTTTTTTTTCTTTTGAGTGAGTCATTGACGTAAGGGTTTC